GCATATATGCATTATTTCGGTTTTTTGCATATGCATTATTTCGGTTTTCAAACGAAAGAGTGCATATGCCTAATTTCGGTTTTTCTAATATGCATTATTGCAGTTTTCAACCGAAACTGTGCATATATGCATTATTTCGGTTTTTTTCATATGCATTGAAAAAATAAATAAAAAATTTTAGAAGAAAAGAATAATAATAAAATAGAAAAGCAAAACCGGTTGCTTTATGTACCACTTTGAAATTTAAATAAAAGATAATCACCATGGTTAAAATGAAAGAAATTAAGAAGCTTCCTTGTACAATTAAACGGCAAAATCAAAAACAGTTTCAATGCACAAAAGAAGCCCAACGGTAAGTTATACAAAAAAAAATTAATTGTTTTTATTATTTTTAACCAATTATCAAAGCGCTTTCCAAGTCCCTAATTTTTTTTTAATAAGGCAAAATCAAAAACAGTTTTGGTGCACAAAACAAGCCAAACGGCAAATTATGCAATAAAAAAATTAATTGTTTTTATTATTTTTAACCAATTATCAAAGCGCTTTCCAAGTCCCTATTTTTTTTTTAAATAAGGCTGTTTAAACAAAAAAAAAAATAACGGCAAAATCAAAAATAGTTTTAATGCAACAAGCCAAACGGAAAATTATTCAACAAAATAATTAATTGTTTTTATTATTTATAACCAATTTTAAACCGCTTGCCAAGTCCCAATTTTGAATACGTTGCCGTTTGGCTTGTTTTGTGCATTAAATTTTTTTTTGATTTTTTCGTTAAATTTTTTTTGTTTAAACAGCCGAGTTTCCGATCCATACTCACAGCGTCTTTCGTATGCTAGATAATTTGCTGCTTGGTAGGATGGAAAGGCCTGGTTTCTTTTCTGTGCTTTGCTACCTAATAGCCAGAGTTTTACAGTGATCAAATAGTTGTCTTTTAAAAACAGCAAAGTTATCACAGTCTTTTACATGTGACGGTAACTCATTAAAACACTTTAAACCTTTATAAAATATATTTTTTTTGGTCTACCTCTGTTCTATAAAGTGGGAGTCTAAAGCAATTGTTTTCCCTGAGTATATATGAATGAGTTTCATTTATATACCGAAGATTGTCGCTCAGATAGTCTGGAAGTTTACCGTTCTTTATGTTGTATACGAATTTCATAGCATGATAGAAAACCTGTTGCTTAACACTCAACCAATTTATATCTGTGATCATCTCCTGCGTAGGTGTATCGTAACGCTTTTTTAATATGAACCTCATAGCTCTATTTTGCATTTTTTGCAATTTCTCGATATTCGCGTCGCTTGCTAAGAAGAAGATTGTTGGGCAGTATATAAAATGTGGTTCTACTATAGATCTATAGACGAGGGTTTTATACTTTCTTCTCAGATACTTACAAAATCTTTTCATAAGACCAATTTTTTCGCAATTTTGTTCACTGTTTGCTCAACATGCTCATCAAATTTTAGTTTATTATCTATATATAGGTACTTAATGAGTTTAACTTCCTCAATTTCTTCATCTTTGATTTTTAAATTTTAACTAGTGGTTCCAAGATTAAAGGCCGGTCCACATAGAACTTTCGCGTTGGCTTTGGCGTTGGCGTTGCTTTGACAGAACGCACGTTAAAGGTATGCTTCGCAGTGAATGCTTGGTCCACTAAATTAACATATTAAAATATTTTAAACTCGCCACTGCCGTCGACTTCTCTGCGGTCGCCATACACTGAGCAGCTGGTTGTGAGTGTGGTGTCACCATCAGCGCTATCTGAACCAGAAAATATACTAGCACCATTGGAGCTCGCATCGCCGTCAATACTGGGGGAATCAAATGCCGCGACGTTGTATCAATTGTTGTCACCATCGCAAGAACTTTCCGCTGATTCAAACTCGACATTGCCATCTCTTTCATCACAAAATAAACGTAAAATCCCAGAGGAGGTGAACCAGATCTGGATGCAGTATTTTTTGAATCAGCGGAAATGTTGAAAAAAGCGTGTAAAGCTATTAAGGCGTCGGAAGGGGAACAAAATCCTACCGTGCATGCTTTCGCAAAAATGAGGGATTGGGGTCACAATTACTCAAATGAGTGCTGCAAAGCAATCAATTGCGATGGAGCGTGTAACGGCTATTGTAAGGGCGTTACAGCGAGGGCTAGAACCATAACTTTTTTAACATCCACTTTTGAATCACCCTAATCTACATTTGTATAGTAATATTTTTTTTTTTAAATTTACCTGCATATACTTACGTAATGTTTCTATGATAGAATATGAAAGACCACCAAATAAAGAAACGTTTTTAAATTTCGTGTTCTTTTTCCAATTGTAACGCAACGTAAATACTTTAATTGAAATTATAATTTTATGTACAGTGGCTTAACTCAATATCATGCAGTTATATTTTCGCAATATTAATTTGGCCCACCAAAGTTAATAATAAATTCAAACAATACTCGGGACATTCTTGTGTGCTCGAAAAACTTGTCTTCCTGAATTTTTGTAAGACAGTGCGCTGGTACCCTTTTTTCGCCCAATCTTCATTAATTGGATGGACACTCCAGCGCCTAATTTTATGTCGTCGTGACATTTTACAGGCTTTATATATTTTAATTAAATTCAAAAACCATCGCGCATAATTTTAATTTTTTATGCATTTTTAATTCAAACAAATTAAAAGTTTACAGTTTAAGGTGAATAATTTTAACTTCAAAATGACAAATTCATATGCTAGGAATCAATAAATAGAGAGAAAGTAACGGATGACAGGAAGAGTAATCATTTCTAAGTTTCTGCGTAAGTCAAGTATAAGGGTCTGATTATGCATACTTCGCATAACTTCGCACAACCATTTGTACCAGTGCACTAAAAGTGTAACTTAAGAAAATGTGAAGCAAAATCAAAACTCAACAGATCGCTAAGTTTTTAAAAGTTCTGCTAATTTCTGGGTAATGGAGTACACACAAAATACATACAAAGTACATACGTAATTACAGTTTGAAGTTTATGCGAAGTTGTGCGAAGTTATGCGAAGTATGCATAATCAGACCATAGGTCTTGCATAACTGAGCTTTAACTCCAAGTTTCCAAATTTGAGTAGTCCAAAGTGCGCTATGTAAATTTTTTCGATTTTTATTTTTTGGTGAGTAACGTACTAGTATTTAAAATTCCCTACATGTTGGGATTTTCGACTGTAAAAATGCGTACGTAGGAAAAAAGGCAGATTTTTTATATATCTTAAAATGTAGGGAATTTTTGGAATGTGAATAAATATTTGCATGATTCGGTCGTTTTTGCAAGTTGAATGTGTTGACTGCGGCTCGTACAAATGTCCAGAATCTATTTTTAAATTAAAAACGTATATGACCATCATTAAAATTTCCTCATTTATGTTTTTTGCCTTTAATGTTCTTTTCTAATAAACACACTCCGTGATTTATTTAAATAAAAAAACGCATGTATGTGCTATATTGAAATAATAATATATATGGGTATTTCCAAACTGACGTTACGTGACACTCGTATGAAAATATGTTTAAAAAAAAATATTGAAAAAGTCAAAACTTTAAAAGGGTCTATCGAGATTTGCATAGCAATTAAATGGCCCCTTATTCAGTAAAAAAATTACAACTTTTGGTAGTAGCGATTTAAAGATATTAGTTAACATACGCGCTGGCGTGAGGTGGATTTTGACTTCGATTACGAAATTGCAAAACTCTGCGAATTGGGCAAGACTATTTGTATAAAAGTTTTTGTAGTAATAATGGAAATGTTTAAGGCTAATTTTCCAAGTTTTTAAATGTAGAAATCTTTTCTGCTTTATGTTTAATCAGCTGAAATATCTGACGTGACGTTACCTGGCGTAACGTTACTCAAATTTCCATTGAACAATTTTTGTTAATATTGTTCTTGAAAGAATTTCAAACGGGAAGAAAATATGCATTTATGTCGGGCGTACTTTTTGTTTTGACATAAGCGCCACCAGCGGCATAATTTTTTTTGCAAATCTGTGTCCTATTACGTTTCAACTAAACATGCCAAATGTGAAACAAATCAAAGCATAAAAACGGTTTTTCATAATATCTCGACACTGGCGCCACCTAACGAGACCGATTTTGGCAAAAATGTTTGTGCTTACATAACCAGTATATATTATAAATAGCAGCCAAATCGGCCTATAAATAAGTTAGATATAAGACTTTTAATTTTGTTACGCGGTAGACTTTTCGCTTTTTTTTTATTCAATCTACGTAACTGATTTCATTTTTTTAATTGCGCCTTAATAAGGTTTTCATAAAAATCGTGTTGAAAGCGATGTTGAAATGCTTATAAAGCCGCCTCATGTAAATGTGCTTTAATTTTGAAAATTTTTTTAACGCTGCTGGAACAAAGATATTGTAGTTAATTTCGTAGAGTTTTTTTTGTTTGGGCGTAGGGAAAAGTAGAGATTTATTAGGTGATACAGTGCAAAATTTTCTATATTCTGAAAAAATAGCATCAAATATTAACTACTTTTGCAAAAGTCGCTATAATACTTATATATGTATTTATACACTTTCAAAAGTCTCCATCTTCTGATGAACTTAGAAACCGCAAGAAAACGTGGTAGTTTCGGTGCCTAGTAGAAGGCGTCGTAAAAAAGAAGCAGACCAATCTTCATGGAAGAGAGAACGCGAAAAGCTAAAAAAAGATAGCTATGTAAAAGTTACTGTTTCAAAACTCGCTATATTATATTTTTATATATATAGTTTGCAAAAACTACCACACTGCGATTTTGTTTTTTAATGTTATTAGGCTCTTGTGTATCCAAATTTTCAGATAATAAAGAGAAATATACAATTTGGATGGTACTTGTTGTTGTAGACGTTTTTCTAATTTATGGCTTTCTATTATAAAATCACACAACGCTGTTTGCAAGTGGACTACTCATTTGTGAAATAATAAAAAAAATTAACAAACTTTCGTACAAATTTTGAACTTTTTTAAAAACTCTAAAACTCTTTATTCTACTAGAATTCAAAACTAGTATAGTGCTACAAAACTCCAAAATTTAATTAAAAAACTCGAAATTTTAACGAAAATTTGTTGATTCTTTTTTAAATTGCATAAAATTTTAAGACAGTGTCACTCGATTGGTACGTTTGTACAGATTTGTACATTTTTATATTGGGCTATTGGTAAAAAAATGGGACAAATTTTTTTTGTAGTCAAAAGATTGGTACAATACAGAGAAGTTCTATTGATAAATTTCAATAAATTAATTTTCGTGATTGGGATAAAGAAAAATATTTTGGGTGTTCACACAATTGGGATACGATTTGCACCAAATTTTGGCAAATACCCAATCGTGTGACACTGCCTTTAAACTTGTATTTATACGTATGCCTTTAAAGAATGAACTATAAAAAAATAACAGCAAAAATAATATTTTAAAACTTGTGAAAATTTGTTCGACTACTGTACATACATAAGTTGACTATGATTACTCGTCCATGCTATATCATAGTAGCAAAATGCCACTAAGCGCATTTCAAAATTTTCAGGCAATAGCCTCATGCGATTATCGATTATATTTTTTGTTGTTTGTGTGAAATATTTAATATTTATCAGTATTTTTCTTTTAATCAAAATATGTCGAAATAAAAGTGAAACTAAAAAAAAAACCGAAACCCAATGTTTAATTTTATTACACGGTGTGCAAATTTGCACACATTAAAAGAGGGGACTGGTTACCTCTCTTTATATGCGCAAATAAACAAAAAAAAATTAGAGTGTATTTAAAGTCTCTCCAGTAAAATTCATACAAATTTCCTTATATAAATCAAATTTAGTTTTTTAAATAGTGTATGTTAACCTACATTGAGATCTTCTTTCTTTTTAAATTAACAAATGAAAATATGTGATATGAAAGAGATTACTATAGAAAGAGTATCTAAACTTACTTAACTTACTTATTCTTACTTAAAGCATCTTTTGACCTAATTAAAACAATTGCGCTTATACCTATTTTGGTGAGATCTCTTCATATGTTCATTGCTTCGTTCACAAAAAATAAAAAGCTTTAATTTCGCGCTTAAGTAGTGTTTTTTAATACATTTAGAAAACGTACGCTTTCTACGATCTTTAATGAAAATCGATTTTTGAACGAGCAAAACTTTATAGAAACTAAAATTTTGGCCAATTTAAAAAAGTATCCACATTTATACTGATCGGAAGTAATAAGTATCTCGCAAAAATTCGTCTAAAAGTGTATCCAGTTGGATTTAGATCAGCGTTGGGCAGAGAGAGCTTTTACCCCGCTCGCCTCTATACAAAATGTATAGAGAGCTTAAAAGAGCTTTGCCCGCGGGCAAGGCAGTGCCCATCAATGATTTAGATCCAAACGGCATCCCTGGATGTACATAGGTACAAGAAGCACGCTTGCTTCATTCATGTATTGCTTCGTAGCGGCAGAGCTGAAATGCGAAATGAGTTCGTACATACCCTGCAGCAAAATTTAGAGACAGTCTGGCAAAGCTCTAGTTCCGCCCTACAAATTTTAGAACTCCAAGTAAGAACCCTATCTGATAACTAATGCGTTATATACGCCTAGTACTACAAACTTTTTGTGTGAGAAATTCAAAACTTTCCATCATTTTACATAGGGCTCCTGGAGAAATCTAACGCATAATCGTTGAGCATAATCGTGAGCAGTTTTCTCTTTCTTTTACATGGAATTCGCTATTATATTATCCTATATGTTAGCGATGGGCATAATTTGCACATACGGGCAAAATGCCCAAACGTGCAAACCGCGGGCAAATGTGCAAACTGTTGGGTAGATGAGGTGAGGTAATTATGCCCGGGGGTGAAACAGAAAATTTTGCGCGAATTGCATCTGTATGTGTGATCGGAATGAGAGAACAAGTATATGTGAGTACTCACGAATTTGAGACCCCATGGCTTCCAACTTTCCTAAAAGCACCAAAACTTGGGACAAATCAAAACATCAAAATTTTTTTTCAGTAAAATTTAATATGCATCTATACTACATTAGTGATCGGTCAAAGATATAAGTATTGTTGTATTTATCAAAAACCAAAATAAATATTAATGCACTAATAACGATTTTAAACTTTTATAGAACCAATTGAATTTTCACTTTAATTCTATCAAGATATATATTTTATTTGAAACAATGCATTTATACACATGTATGTACATACTTATGTGCATAAAAAGATTTTCGTATCCAGAATAAAATGCACTAAATAAGCACTGAACATGGCGGGAAAGGTATTCTAATAGTATTTTATAGTTGTCGAATATTTTTAGGTATCTTCGGCTCAGCTAAAACGAAAAAAGCTGCATTTATGCATATCTATATATTTTTGATGATTCGAGGATTTTAATTTTTAACGATGCAAAGTGAAGTGTATGTATATACCTACAAAATATACTGCTGCAAATAATTATAAACTCAAATTGATTTTAATTGGTGGATTTACAGTCTCATAAAATTATAAGTCCGAAAGCAAACTTAAAAAATTACATAGTATGTTATACCGTTAATACGCACCGAATGTACAGAAGTCACAGTTGTATTTTTTTAATTCCGTTTTCTATGCTAGACAACAACAAAATCTTTAAACAAAGCTAGTTCTCGCGTCACTACGTGAATATTCAAAGACTTTTGCAAGTACTCGCTAACCAGCTTATGATAGCGCGATATGGCAAACATGCTGTTAATTTACATACATGTCCATCAGCAGGCATTGGCAGAGAATGAGCCACGCTCAACTACTTGCTCATGATTCAATAATACAAGGTTCGATAAACTGACAGTTGTCTCTCTCGCACCGCTCCCTTAGCAGTGGCACCGTGTTGCTTCTTTGCAAATTTACATGGAAACAGTGTAGCTTTGATGTGAAATAAAAGTATAAGCTTTTGTGCAATGTTTACTTGTATATGATTATGAAGCATATTTAACTGATGAAAACATAAGCCTTGGATGTTTACATCGATCTCATAGTAGTCTTATTTTAATTTTGAGTCATTTTGCAGTTTTTATACAGCTAAATAGCATATAAATTACGTAAATCACGTAGATATATCAATATTACGTTCAACATTTCGTTTAAAATGCCAGATTTCCTGCAAATACATTAGAATTTACAAAAGGAATTTCACTACTAATTTCCTACTTTGCGTACTTTTCTACTACTATTTTCGAAACAAGGGATTGCATTCTTGCCCTTTCTCTGTCCTTCGTAAATGCAACCTTTTGTAAGGGAGTGTCAAACCGCAGCTGTCAATAATTATCTAACCTTGTATTATTGAATCATGCTACTGGCCAACCGTGGTGAGCAGTGTTGCCATTTTAACGACTTTTCCACTCAGCTAGTTTTTAGCGATTTTATTCATAATGATCGCAATTTATTACATTTACATTTTGCATTCCAAAAAATCAGCATTACATCCAAGGTGTGATTGACAACTTAGTGTGGCTCTCTTTTAAGGTACTAAAATGTCAAAAAACACAAACAAACAATTTTTTCCAATTTGACATTATAGGATCGTTCTTACGAGAGAAATATCAAATTCAATCATACTTTGGTAAATACATTTTGATTAAATCAACAAGCTCAACAGTCACGAAAACGAAGACGACATTCTTATGACCAATTTTTATACTTTATTTAATGCCACAAAATCCCAGCACTGGTTATAAAACCATATAACGAAGTTCCAATTTTGTTTTTCTTAAGAAACTGGTTTTTATAAACATATGATCTCTAATTTTATTAAATAAAGTTTAACTGCTAAATTATAAAAGAAACTTTTTTTTCATAAGAGTTTACAGAGTTTAAATGATTTAGCAGGATTCTAGCGATTTTTGTATATTAATCTGGCGGGACGGCAGAAACAGAAATGGCAACACTGGTGGTGAGCACCGACTTGCTTGCGCGCATATAAGCCGTTGCCAGCAGTGTTGCCACTTTGTGAGTAATTCCTCAAAACGTGAGGAATTTCGGGTGCGCTTGAGTATTTTTTGAGGATTTTTATTTTGAGGAATTTGCGGATAGCAAATGCACCCATGTTTTCAACAACAGATTTGTTAAGTCGCTCTGCAAATTTTTTAAGAAAAAGGTTTCTGAAGTTTTATAAATAGCGAAATACACTACACAAGCGGCTTGTCAAACATTCTTCAAACCTACTTTTCCCATTTCGCCATACACAATGCAAACATGACTCGTTTAAGAAAAGAGTTTTAGTTCTCTTCCGGTTCACAATGTAAAGGGGTTTGGTTTTCTTGGATTTTGCTCTGTTGCGTCCTCATTCGGTCAAATTTCCGTTGCGAATGAGGCGATTTTACCATACACAATGTAAGCGGTTTGATCAAACGCCAACATGGCGGCAAGAAAATAAAAAAAATTGGTTTTTTGTTTCACATTTCCCTCAAACGGCTTGTCAAACCTTCAAACACCCCCATACACAACATAAATCGCTTGTAGGAAAGGGATCTTTCGTTCGGTTTGTCAAGCCGCTTATGTATGTAGTGTTTTTCGCTCTTAAGCACATCTGCATTTCCTGCTAAATATTCAGAGTGTTAACGATAATTTTTTCAATTCCATCGTTATACATATTTTCAACTTATATATTTTGAAAAAATCACGCATTGTTCGATCATAAGGATATTCATATTGATTCTTCAATAGATCCAGAAAATTATAGGAAAAAAGTTTTTGAATTAAAATATTCTTCAGGTTCATATAAGTTTCCCAATTAAAAAAAAATTAATTGCTAGTATAGCCCTTTTCTAATGCTTCAGTAGGGCGTATATTTAGTAGTTTAAAAATGTGGAGACCATATTAAGCACTGATATGTTCGCAGCAATAATATATACAAACCAAGGCATAAAAAGCAACGGTGATACTTAGTTTGAACAGCAAGAACAAATGTACCAATTGAATTGGAAAATGTAATTAATTTTTGTACTAAGTACCTGTAAATAGTATGCAGTATAGGGCTGCCAGACGTCCCGGTTTTCCCGGACATGTCCCGGTTTTAGACTATTTGTCCCGCTGTCCCGGTCCGACCTTAAAATGTCCTGGGTTTCGTTTTAGTGTCCCGGTTTTTGATTTGATTGCACAAATTTGAATAAAAGTTCAAAAACTTTCCAGAGGGTCAAGGTTCAATTCCCATTACAACCAGCATGGAATTAAAATATTTTTTTTTTAATTAATTATGAAAAAGCAATCGGTAATTGCAAATCGCTTCAATTTAATATGGGCGTATTTGAATTGAATATTTCTATACTAAATACTAAAATTTGTATACTTAAATGTATTACGAGTTGATTTGGTGCTCTTTCATATGCGTATTTTTTAATTTAGCACGCTTTTTTAATTCTAAACTTCTTTCTTTCAGTGCACCGGTTTAATTTGTGAAATAGTTACATTTCGAGATAGTTGAACTTTGCACAAGCAATAGTTGATTAGTATATGTACCTAAATACGTTCAAAATGACGTGCACAGAGTTTTACAATTATATTAAGGAAAAGACAGAAGTTTTGAATTAAGTTCACAGCAACGAAAAATATTACTGATATTTTAATGTTATCTTGTACTTAAATTTTTTTCTTTCATGAATCCTAGACTTATAAGTACGTACAATGCCGTACAAAATTATTGGCTCGGAGGCTCTTTCATCAGATAACAATTTCGAATGAGATCTTTTAGAACATTTTTGAAAATGTACATTTTGAGCCAATTAATAAAATGCAAGTCTGAACTTGCCAACAAATTTCGTTGATTTTTAACCGATTTCCAAAAAAGGACGAGGTTATCAGTTAGTCGGAATATTTTTTTTGGACCACGTCAACCGATTTCGATTCTTTTTGCATCGGAAAGGTAGTGTCTCTGAGGTGGTCCCATACTAATCTGGTTAAGATCCGATCAGTGGATCATGAGATATATATATATATATATTTTTTATATGAGAGTTTAAGTGGGTTTTTTTTTTTGCTAAAAATTACTTGTTAGCATTTATTTTTTTTTTGCTGACAGTGTCTTCTATCAAAAAAGAATTATCGAACATACTTTGTATGGAAGAAACTCTAAAACAATACCAAAAATCAATTAAAACTTAATGGGCTGGAAAACTTCATTTTAAAAATTTTTATAAAAAGTCTGATTAGAATGTTGCAAATTTGTACGCAAATTTATTGAATTTTCCCGAGTTTAGCACAAAGTTTAAGAGGCCCTCCCTAAAGGGTCCCGGGTTGGCAACATACATATCTGACAGCCCTAATGCAGTACACAATACTCATATCTGTAATAAGAAAATTTTGAGTAATTTGTTCGGATTTTTCATTTGTTTTTGAGGAATTTGGTAATTTTTTTGTGGCAACACTGATTGTCAGCGTTCAGTTGGTCGCAAATTTTCAAAGGGAGGGTTGTTCTTGCGCAGATAATTTTTCTTCAGAAATTTGCTTGGGAAAAAGGACAATCATGCGCAAAACAACCTTTTTATATGACTGTTTTCTACCGACTGAGCCTAGTAGCAGCGCTCGGCTCTCTTATTTACGAACACATGCGCAAGCAAGATCGTTAACACGTTGAATTAGCACATACTATTTTTTACATATGTATAATCAATTTAAACTTGAATGATTTATTAATAAAAAAATTAAATTGGTCGGCATTTCATGATGTTGAATTATTTTTAATAAATAGACTACAAATATGGTTAGAAATTGTTCCTCTATAAGCAAAGAGGTGAATATAATAGCCTTTGGCAATATACATTGCATAAAATGGGTTAATACACATACACGGCTATTGCTTACCCTTTCGGTTTTAAATTTTTAGCCCGCATCAAGCACCTGCTTGCCCGCGCTGCTGCGCGCGAGCTGTTCTGCCGCCCATCCCTACTATATGTAGCTGTCTCTGTTCAATCAAATATTATTATGCGATTAATAACGCAAAGAATGGCATATGGATATGGCTAATATGCAAATGTGTTGTTTTTTATTGACAATTTTGTAAGTGTATTGGAAAATGCGTTAGATCGTTCTTGCTAGGTTGTCTCTGAACTACTGCAAAAGGGATGCAGAGCTGGACGGTTGAAACTCATATGTTGTTAGTTGCGCTGTCATCAATGTTACTCATCCTGGTCATGTGAAAGCTGACAAAAGATGCACAAATGTACATACTATACTATATTTTTTTGATTTTCTTAGACCCTAAAACTAATAACAAACTGTTTTCGTTTATTTAATATGTAATTATCTACATAGTTTATGGGGCAGCTGCTAAAATATTTCAAAAAAGTCGATGTTGGTAACATTAAAGTCATTTCTATTCATATATACGTACTAAACATCTGCGCAATTCGATTTAAATGGCCTAACAAGACATCCGATCGTCGCGCAAATACTTTCCCTCCTTTACTCTTATCGTTCCAGTCAAGTGTGAGTAAGCATAGACCAGTTTCTGCAAGCGTAAGTAAACTACCGATCAATAGCAAGACGCGTAGAGTATTTACTTTGCCTTCCGCAACTACTGCGCGTACATCGCCGTGTAAAACTGGACAGTTGAAAGCATTGCTTGGGTATTGAGCTAGAACTGGTACTGTCGGCAATAGGTCTAGTTCTACGTGGCACCCTGAAATTGTGCATATGGAAACTGTGCATACGAAATAATGCATACGAAAAAACCGAACTAATGCATATATGTACAGTTTCGGCTGAAAGCAAAATAATTCATATGAAAAACACCGAAATAATGCATATATGCACAGTTTCGGTTGAAAACCGCAATAATTCATATTAGAAAAACCGAAATTATGCATATGCACTCTTTCGTTTGAAAACCGAAATAACGCATATGACAAAAACAAAGTAATGCATACATACACAGTTNAGTTTCGGTTGAAAACCGCAATAATGCATATTAGAAAAACCGAAATTATGCATACATGAAAACGAACTTCTTTCTGCGTAGACGGCCTTCGGCTGCGTTTAGGGATTATAACCCTTACTAAAAATAACTCTCCTATCTGTGTTGCCGGAAAAGGGGACCGGAAGTATTTTTGCGCAGAACTTCTTTCTGCGTAGGCGGCCTTCGGCCGCGCTTAGGGATTATAACCCTTACTAAGTAGAATTCTCCTTTCTGTGTTACCGGAAAAGGGGACCGGAAGTATTTTTGCGCAGAACTTCTTTCTGCGTAGGCGGCCTTCGGCCGCGCTTAGGGATTATAACCCTTACTAAGTAGAATTCTCCTTTCTGTGTTGCCGGAAAAGGGGGCCGGAAGTATTTTTGCGCAGAACTTCTTTCTGCGTAGGCGGCCTTCGGCCGCGCTTAGGGATTATAACCCTTACTAAGTAGAACTCTCCTTTCTGTGTTGCCGAAAAAGAGGTGACGGAAGAATTTTTGCGCAGAACTTCTCTCTGCGTAGGCGGCTTTCGCCCGCGCTTAGGGATCGTATCCCTTACTAAGTAGAACTCTCCCCTCTGTGTTGCCGGAAAAGAAGGGCGGAAGTATTTTTGCGCAGAACTTCT